GGCTTCAGATTCTGGACAGCTTGATGATAATATTTTACAACTCATAAAATAGTTTATAAACAACATTTTTTAATACATCTGTTTTTTTAATCATTTCACCCCTAGCAAGGTGGGAATATCACTAGTATGCAGGGGGTTACAGGGAGTGAAAGAGAGAGAAAAAACTGGTTATAGGGGGAAAAAGGAAAGGATAAAAGATGAATCAGTCTCAACACAACAGAAGATGGCAATTTATGTTGCATTTAAATTTTTGAAGATTGTATTTTTCAGGAAAACAAGTAAACGGAAGGGAGTTCCACTGTCGGGAAGTGCAAGGAAAAAAAACTGTTGGAGTAGAAGTGGCAGTTAGAGTAGTTACATTAGTAGTTAGAGCACCAGGGAAAAAAGCTTGTCAGAGCAGTTACTATGAAAATATTTGTAGAAAAGACAGAGGGAAGCCACATCATGTCTGTGAGAAAGTGACTGAAGTCGACATGTCAAGTCAGGATCAATTACATTGCAGATCCTTCTTTGGATTTTGTCAAGAGTCTCAAGATAAATAGCAGAGGCACCGGACCATATATGGCAGCAGTATTCAATGCACGGCCGAATAGTAGATGGGCAAGATGAACTCTGAGAAGAAAAACCTTCTGGCACGACACAATGAACCAACTTTCCTTACAGCAGATGTAGCTATTGATTCAATGTAGTTGTTCCACTTCAAGTCAGTTGGAAGCATGAGTCCAAGAAGTTACAGTACTTTAGCCAATATAAATGTATACAAAATTTCATTTAACAATTTACTCACACAGAGTCAGATTTTATTATGCAAGTCAATGTTTTCAGAAAATAGTTGCTATATTTCTAACAGATATTGATAAAATTTTCAGTATTTACTTATATTTATACAGTTCTTTTTTTAGTAACACATATTTTATACTGGTGTAAGGGAGAAAACTATAAACAAACATTTTTTTTATTTTACAATTTTTTTTATTTTACTGTACAAGGCCCAAGAGCCACTCGAGGAAGAGGGTTACAGAGTAAAAGGTCAGCAGTCACAGTTTTTATGGGGGTATGTAGGAATATGACAGTTAACCCTAGACTTGAACAGGTTAAGATTGTAATGATCAAGAAAGCATCTTTTTGGGAGTTGATTCCATAAAGTATCAGTTTGTGGGAAGAAGCTGTTTAAGTTGAACTTACATCTCAACTATAGAATACAAAGAGAATGAGGGTGGTTTGCTGCAATGTGTATGCCGGGTCTTTGCTGTGACATTTAGAACTGGTGAAACTAAGGAATATAAAAACTGTGATAAATATTCCATGTGAATTTCACTTTATATGTTTTATTAGAAATATTTACAATAATTTATTTAGGGTGGTGTGAGATTTTATTAGGCAACTCACAGGTTGCTCATCATACTAGAAAAACTAAAGACAAAAGTAGAGTCAGAGATATTTTCTTTTAATTTCATATATACAGTGGAACCTCAATTTAACGGGCTTATCATGGAGAGGGTCATCCATTAAAGTCTGTGTTTGTCTATTAATTTTTCTCGTGGCTTAAAAACACCCAGTATGGTACAAAATTATTGTAAATAGATGTAAATACAATATATATATATATATATATATATATATATATATGTGTGTAAGCAAATATATGGATATAGATCCGACAGTATGAAGAAAAATATATATGGAAAAAACAAACAAAAATTCTTATATACAATTATGCTGTTTTAATGTTAATATGTCAACGTCGGACGTTTTGGTCTAATAAACTATCTTCAGGACATATTCATAAATTATAACATTATCAATACATGACAAAGACGATGTACATAAGAACAAGACTTATCCAAACAGATAACTGAAAGCACTGATCTTATAAAACTTCAGTTATCTGTTTGGATAAAATAAATTACACACACACACAGGTAGAGAGGTTTGTGTATGTTACATTTTAAATTTACCTTTAAATAAAGTTTGAAAAGTTATAAAGTTTACTTCATGCTGTATTCCTCACCTGCTCTGGCCACAGAAACTCATGACTTGAACTTCTTAAGTTCCAATTTGTCATCAATACTAAGTTTAGTGTGCTTCCTTTTCTCACCTGTGTTACAATTGGATGCCATAGTGAAGGGCTTGAAAAAAAAAAACAATACTGTATACTGTACGAAAATCAGTATGAAATGGTTGAGAGACAATGAAAGTGTGTACATGACGAGCGAGGAACTAAACTGCAGTGGCTATTCCCAGAACTACCAGTCTCTATTGATTGTGCCAGTAAACAATAGCAGCCATTTCTGGAACTAACAGACTTTACTCTCTATGCATGGGGGTTTTGAATTCCAGTTGGACACTACCATTTCTGTGGATTTTGTCTTTTAAATCTGGAGTCCATTGGTTCAGTTAATTCGAGATTTTACTGTATATACATAGTAAGTGTAATAAGTAGGCTTTTACAGAGTGGATTTCCCAGTCACATGTCCAACCAGTTTTTAATTCTGTGTTGTCCTTCTCCAAGATTGGTTGCTAACCAAAGCTAGAGAGCTGAGTCTGCCCTCATATTAAATCAATATCTCTGGGGAGAAGAGCTGCATTTATACCTTTCTGAGGGTATTTGTACAAAAATGAATGCAACAAACTTGTCTGTAATTTGAACTCATCACCCCAATTTAACTTTCCATGCTGATAACCCCTACACTACAAACAAATCCAAATAAATTTATATAGAGAGTAGTTATTGAAATTTATTTTTTTTAAATTTTAACTATAGAGGTTGTACATTGCTGCTGAGCTCAAATGAGGTGATGATCACATATGTATAAAAATATATAAATATATTTATTGTTCAAGTTGCAGTGAATGAGTAATGAGAGAGATAATCAGAGAGGTTAGGATTATGCACACAAGAATTGACAGAGACAAATCTTCAGGGAATCTCTAGCCAGTATCTCTGGCCAAATCAAGAATCGGACCATGTTATATAACACCTATGCAACTTCACATGTCTACTCCTTCTTTTGGTATGTCACCTATGCAACTTCGTGTGGCCATGCCTCTTCCAGCATATGCCCATGCAAGTACACATTTCCCTTCTGCTCAGAACACCTGTGTGCCCTGTTTATTCAAGGCTCAGGACACCTGCATATCCTGTTTATTTTAGCCACCAGATGCATTACCTGTTTATGCAATCACCAGTTCCAATTTCCACTCACACACTGATGCAGCGAAAGAAAGGCCAAAAGTCTTTCCTCAACCAATACCCAACATAAACAGGAAAATTTCCTTGAAAGATTAATTCAAAGTTAATTCAAAGAAAAGAGTACTGACCTGTTATGTAATATCAGTACTCATCACAGATGGTGAAGAAACTTGAAGTAACAGAAATGTAGTTCTACAGAAGGATGCTGAGAATACCAGGGACTGAACATATGAGAAACAACAAACTTTTAGAGAAAATGGAAACAAAAAGGACACTTATACATCAAGTCAGAAAGTGAGTTTAAATTTCTATAGGAAGAGCATCTTCACATGCATTGGTTGCAATTGAGACTATCACTCCTGTGTGAGCCTGTACAGCCATAACAGATGTGCCACCATCAGCAGCAAAGGTATAACTTTTTGGGTACAAATCCATAATCTCTTGAGACTGACAGATGCTACATACACATACATATGAGAGATAAATATAATCAGTAGCTTTCATGTGAAGATTGCTTCTACAGGAAATTGATGGTCACTGTGCAGTGTTGATTCTCATATCCATATCTGCAAACTGTGTTATTGAGCACTCCCCCCCATAAATATAGCAAATTTTATATGATATATTTATATATTACAGTAATAATTTTTTTTTTTAATTTACATTTTGTATGTGCATGCATGTTCACCAAAAATGCATACACACTTCAGGAAAGGAAAAAATTGTCTTTCATAGTTTTACCTACTGACGACATTGGCAACCCTTAGACAAAAAATTGAAAATGCACATGCAGCAATTCCACTGGATACTTTGGCCAAGCATTGTCCAAGCAGTAGTTTACCATACTAATAAATATCTGGAAACTAAAGGCCACCATTTTGAACATCTCTTGTGATTGTAGAGTTCAAAGGTAACTTGAATTAATCTCATGATGTCTAAATAAATTTAGTATTACAATATGTATACAAGTTATTCCTTTCCTGAAGTGTGTATACATTTTTGGTGGACTCAGTATAAGACATATGCGTATACATACATACACACACACACACATATATATGTTTACCATAATATTTTAAAGAACAATAATCAGAAATCTGTATGTGTATGTCAGTTGCAGAGGATTTTCAGTGATACAGGTAGTGAGATATCTAATGAAATAACTGATGATATCTAGGTTAATGGTTATTTCTCAACTTGCTCCACCAAAAACTAGAGTATGTGCCTCTATTTCTCACCCTCTTCACCAGGTCTATATTTTATATGCTTGTCACGAATGACCGATTACAAATCCAAGATTCAAAATCAAAAAGATCAATATTAAAGGTTATCGTATTTTTTCATACACACTCAGATATAAAACCTTTCAATTGAAAAAAAAGTTCAAGAAAAAAACAAACAAAAGTATTAATAAAAAGAATGAAAACTAAACAATGAGAAAAATGAATAAATAAAATCAATATTTGGGTGAGGGAATTTACTTTTTGTGTTTTTGTTTTTATTTCTTGATGCTACCTTCTTTCACTTCCACAAGCAGAAAAAATTCAACATCTTTGCAACCCCATCCACCTAACTTGCTTAAGAAGTTAATCTAGAGGTTTCTTTGTTTTTTCCTTGATTTATTTTATGGTGTCAAGTCTCTTTCTCTGCTGTTCGTGAGATATCTTTGGAATGTTAAATTTTTTTAAAATTTTCGCCATGTTTTTTTCTGTAATAAAAAAAGAGGAAGAAATAAAAAAAAGTAATAAGCAGTAAAGACAAAAGGAGAAAGAAGAAAAAAAAATGAAAGAGGAAAAGGCAACGGCAGCTAAGCAGGAAAAGAACGAAAAGGAAATAAAGGGCAGACAAGATAAAAAAAAGTGATTGAAAAGTGGGGAAAAGCCAAAAGTGAAAAGGAAGGAAAATGGAGTAAGAAGGGATGGAAATGATAAAGAGGAGAAATTGAAGAGAAAAAAAAAAAAGAAAAATGTGGAAGGGAATTTAAATAATGACAGGAGAAGAGAAGATAAAGGATCAAAAAAAGAAAGAGGTAGAGAAGATAATACGATGAAAAATAGAAAATGGGAAGAGGGAGAAAGAGAAGAAAAGAAATCTAAAACAAAGAAGTGTTAAGAAAGAAAAAAGAGTGAAAGAAAAATACGGATAGAAAAAAGATTAGTAAATAAAGAATGAAAAAAGAGATTAGTGAGAAGGAGAATAGAGAAAAAGAATAAAACAAGGCAACAAAGAGACAAGATATTTTACAGATTACATAAAAAAAAGAAAAGCAGAAGAATACAAGAAGGAAGAGAATAGAAATGAAAAGTAAAAGACAATAAGAAAAGGTAAAAAAATGAAAGGGAAAAAAGGATTTTTTTTAATCAATTTCACCCCAAGCAAGGGAGTAAAGCTACTAAGACAAAAGGGGGTTACTGGGTGTGGAAGAATTAAGAACAGAAACATTACTAATGAGTAGGAAGAGAAAACAGTAATCATGAAGACAGTAGATAGTGATTGATATTGCATTTAAAATTTTGGAGATTAAATTTGGCTGGAATGCATGAAGCCTCTGCAACTGACACCACACACAAGAAGTGTGAGAAAAGAAACTGTTAGCACAGAATTTATAACTACATCTAGCCAGCTCAACTGTGAATTGATAAGCTCTCAATGTCAGTCAAGTACTGTGCTTAAATTCAAAAAGTTTAGATACCATAGTGAAGAGCTCATCTGAACAATTACTATGAAAGTTTTTATAGAAAAGTCATAGGGAGGCAACCTTACAACAGTGGGAAAGCAACTAAAGTTGAGCCACTAGATCAGGACCAATAATATTGCTGATTCTTTTTTTGGATTTTATCAAGGAGCTGAAGGCAAATAGTAGGAGCACAGGACCATATGTGGCAGCAATATTCTAAGGATGGGCTCATCGGAGACTTATAGATATGCATGATGGATTCTGAAGAGAAAAATTATCTTGCACAACACAGTGAATCAACTTTCTTAGCAGCTGACTTAGCAATGGGTTCAATATAGACTTTACACTTCATAGAAAAAAGGGGAGAGAAAAAAAAAGAATTAAACAGAAAAAAATAGAAAATATGAAAAGGGCAAAATTTGAAAACAGCAAAAAGTAAAGTAAAAATAAATGTTATTAAATAAAGCTAAAGTAAGAGAGAATACACGTGCAGGGAGAAACAAAAATGGTCAACTTTGGACAGAATAAAATAGAGCAAAAAATATAATATAAAAGAGAAGAGGCACCAATAAAGTGAAAGAAAGAGAGATTTATTATATATATTCAAAAGAGACACACAGAGAAAGGTTTGTCTGGGTATGATGTTAAACTATATCTGGTAGAAAGACGTCTGATCAAGAGGTTCTGAGGAGCATGGAACCACCTCTTCATTGCTGTTGTTTACAGGTCCACCCTGACCTGGGGTGGCAGTACCTGTTAGGGTCCCAGTTATGGGCAAATAGTTAATCCCAAACCAGGGTCAAAGTTCTATGAAAGTATAAAAATAGATTTTTATATTAAAAAAAAAAACATTACCAGCAATACACTTTTGAAAAAAATATTACCAGCATATGTCAAACTTAAAATAGGCAGTTTCCAAGATTTAAATGAAAATAATATAGTTACATAAATGGTGTTTGTTTTAAGCATTCCTAGCTGGGCAGATATTCTAAAAGAGTGAAAAAATATCAAAGCCTTAAAAATGGTAGCACTGAAAAAAAGAGTTAAAGTAACTGTAGCGAACAGACACAAAAGAGGCCCGTATATGGACATGTTTGTCAACACCAGTTACATCCGGATTTACCCCAATAGCAGTGAAACAACCTGGCATGTCTAGATATGGGCCTCTCTGCAACTGGTCAATATCCGGGTGTTTGTAAGATGCCTGATGCCAATACAATCATTGGGAAAATCAGCAGTTGACAAAACACAGTGTCTTGTGAAGTTGTCTCATGGGCACTTTTGTTCCTAAAGTTGTTATGGTTTCTGAGGCAGTGTTATTTTTGTTACCGCCCATCTCTTTCCCCTCTCTGTCTATTACTACCATAGTTGCTGGGAAAACAATCAGTTAGGTGCTTCCACCAACCTTAACAAACTCTTGCCATACAGTAATTTTTTTAGTATTTCTGATATTTTATGCTGCATTAGAGGTATTAGAATGGATCTAATGTATTTTGTATGTTTGTACATATGTGTAGGTACAATATACACTGGTATGCAAATGTTTTGGGCCAATTATTTAAAATGATTATTGTTATGGTATGGTTCCTTGTACCATGGTGATATTCCAAGGTAGAACCAATAAAGAAGAACTCGAAACACGTATATGGAAATACACAGATATATTACAAACAGGAATATATACAGGGAAGTAGAAAGTGTTAGTATGAACAATCAGGTTTAGTAGTAATTGTCTGAATGTGACTGTTTTGGACTGCCTCTGACTCGACTGATTGACTCGCTCGCTCTGACTGTCTGACAGATTTCTGATGGACTTCACTCCAGACTTCAGACTGAACTCCCTGCTTCCTCTTGAGGCGCAGTATTTATTACGTATGGAATAGTCCAGTATGTTATTATGGGTAAGGTCCCATAACAATTATACACCTTTATTTTATTAAGAAGTAATCAAGAAGAAAGTAGATAACAATTGACATTAATATTAAAAAAATTTAAATGCAAAGTTAACTTAAAAGCATGGAGCTGAAAGAGAGTTCCACAAACAAAAAATGTAAGAAAAACTGTTAGCATAGAAATTACAGTTACATGTCTTGCCAATTCAACTGTAAATTGATGGGACCTTGTTTCCAATCTAGTACAGCACTTAAATTCATAAAGACAATGTACCATAGTGAAGAGTTCATCCAAACAATTACCATAAAAGTATTTATAGAAGAGGTACAGAGAAACAACTTTATGGTGGTTGGAAAGGGACTGAAGATGAGATGATAGATCAGGACCAATAATATTGCTGATTCTTTGGATTTTATCAAAAATATCCAAATATTGCCGGAGCACTGGGTTATATGTGTCAGCAATATTTTAAGCATGGATGAAATGGTAAACTTATAGATATGGAGGATAGATTCTGGAGAGAAAAACTGTCTAGCACAACAAAATGAACCAACTATCTTAGTAGCTGATCTAGCAATGGATTCAATAGAGTCTTTCCACTTCCTGTCAACTGAGAATGTTAGCCCGAAAAGGCATAACACATCACTTTCTTGGAGGTCAGTATTGGCCAAAATGATAGAAGACAGAAAGGCATCTCTCAGGTACACTACTTTAAGCAGCTTGAAGCTAAAAAAAGGCCATGCAAAACTATTAGGCCAATAAATGATCTGAGATTATGAAATCATGATAATATGCAAATTTCTAAGTAAGAACTATTCCATCATATTAACATGTGTATAAGGTGCCTTATCAAGTCATTGTAGTTGGATATTAGCTAGCTTTTTTACACTGAAATCAAGGCTAAAATTTTTGCTGAAACAAAGATGAAGGTGGTAATTTTGAAAAAGTAGATAACTCAAAAAAAAAGTAGCCAGATGGCTGGGAATTTCCAGAAACTGGGTTGAAACCATCCAAAAGACATTTTCTACTACTAGAAGTGTTTTAACTGCAAAAAAAAAAAAAAAATCAGGAGTATTGCAAAAGATAGACAAGGGAGCTGAAAGAAAGATTGTAAGAATCTTGGTAGTCAGTCCAAATTTAACAGTCAGACCAATGAGGAGTGAGTGCAATATTAACAGTGAGGCTTCAGTTTATACAATATGCATGATATTATGAACAAAACAACTTGAATGGGTGTATATCAGTAAAAATAAAAATGTCTACACACACAAATGATAATTTACAAGACAAAATGCACATGAAGTCAGCTTAGCCAATGAAAAATAAATAACACAGAAATTAAAAATACCAGAATTTTTTCTTTTTTTTCCTTTTTTCTTTAAAAATGTTAAATTTATAAACAATTCCTATTTGTTCTTTATTTATATATATTGTAAAGGTAATAAATCTGTTAGTATATAATCCATGTGGATCCTAGTAATATAAAATATTACAACTGATCCACAAAAAGAGTTCAATGTATTTATTATACAGAGCAAATAAATAGTAGTAAACCATAAAATCCAAAATTACCTCATATGGGGTCTATACTCCACATGAGCTAATTTGGGAATTTATGGTTTACTTGATATATATATATATATATATATATATATATATATATATATATACACACACAGTGTAACCCAGATATAAGAGAGATTTTCTCTGGTCCCAAATTAGAGCCTGTGTTAATGTATACAAAATAGACCAAACCCCAGATATAAGAGAAACCCGGATATAAGAGACTTCTTCTCCAGTCCTGACAACTGTCTTATATCCGGGTTACACTGTGTGTGTGTGTGTGTGTATATATATATATATATATATATATATATATATATGTATGGTAGATAGGTTTGCCTATCATCCGGTTCCCACTCCTGTCTTTGGAACAGGAGTAGATGTTTATCCCTGAATTCCTGTTTAGGATTGGGTTTCCAGTTCCTTCTAAAGCCTACTTCAGCTCTATACTCCTAACACTTGTCCTTTCCTACACTAATATAACTACACAGTAACCCACTACCTTGAGTAGCTCTTGGACTTTCTATTAGGTTAACATTAGTAATATATACAGATAGATAGATAGATAGATAGATAGATAGATAGATAGATAGGTCGAGTGAGATGTATTCATATGAGCTAGCACACTGATATAAATTCTTACATCTTGAAAAGTTCAATATGGATATCTTAGACTACTCAAATATAAATCAAATATATACATAGTTATATAAATATATTGATTTTTTATTTAGCTGTTTATATCTTACTAACATAATTAGGGAGCAAACAATCTTCTGGGTGTGCACTTGTCTGCTACAGAATTTGATATTCATAACTTGCCCACAGAAATTTAAATACAGATTTCTTTGGAGTGCATATAGTTATATTCACAAAACCAATTTTAAATTCATAAAAAAAGATAAGAATTCTAAATCAAATAGCATTTTTTTTAACTGTAGGTTTTTATTTTAGTATGAAAAGGAAAATATAGATGTAAAAGTTAAATTATGGTTCTCAAAAAGCAAGCACTAATTTAAAAGCTCTAAAAATAGGTACAAATGTAAAAGCTCTAAAAATAGGCACAAATGTAAAAGCTGTGAAAATAGTTACAAATGTAAAAGTTCTGAAAACAGTTATAAATTTAAAAGTTTCGAAAACAGTTATAAATTTAAAAGTTCCGAAAATAGTTACAAATTTAAAAGCTCCCAAAAGTTGGCACAGATTTAAAATCTCCAAACCTAAGTACTGATTTAAAGTTTAGTATTTTATGTTCTCCCATCATCAGTCCTTAAACTGCTTCAATTGTTGGGGGAGATCTAAAGACAGAAGAAACAGACAACATCCTTCAATCTGATGTAGTGGCTCAAAGGAGCGTTGGCATTGTCCTCATTGTTCACACTTTCTCTAGCATACCAGGTAATTTTTCCACAATTTGATGGCTTTACCCATGCGTTGGTAGACTGACGGTGTTTGTGCTCCAAATGCCCATTTGTCATACGCCTTCTGGGATTAGTCAATGGGAGGCCTAGCTATTGTTGATCTAGCATGTTGATACTTTAGTCAGAAAGACAATCCACTTCCAACTTGAGAAGTTGAAGCAGGAAACTGACCTTTGCCATCCACTCCACAGTTGTAAACCAATGACAAAGAGAATCAAGTCAAGACACAGCTTTCTACATTCAGTTGAATCACTGAACAGAGCTCTTAGTCAGCATCTGTCCTGTGGTGCAGCCATCTTAACAAAGTGTAACAGAGGCTCTCTCTCAGCCCTACAGAAACCCTTTCTCCAGTTATGCCTGGCACTTCTGGTCTTGTCTGAATCACCTCCAAATATCTGTTGGTCTCTATAGAGCCACCCTTCAGAAATGGAGTTATGCTACCGATGATGATCCCAACTGCCAATGATGGCAATTACAGACTTTTGAGCATCTAGTTTGCTCCAATCATGAAGAATCAGGCACACTTAACGACCTCAAAACCTTAACACCCCAGGAAAGGCTCTGTGTGGCAACACTGGATGGATGTAGTATAGTGACTCAACAAAACTGACAGAACTGTTATATAATATCAGTCTTCCTATATGGCAGTGAATGCTGGACAATCTTCTCATAGGTGATGAAGAGACTTGAAGCAACAGAGATGTGGTTTTACAGAAGGATGCTGAGAATATCATGGACTGAATACGTGAGCAATGACAAAGTTCTAGAAAAAATGGAAATAAAAAGGCAAACTTATACTTAACATCAGGAAGAGATAGTTGAAATTTCTAGGCCACATAATGAGGAAAGAGGTCTTGGAAAATTTAATACTCACAGAACAGATTGAAAGCAGGAAAACAATGCATAACCTACTTGGCGAACTTGAGTGAATGGATAGCGGAGTAGAGTTTGGGAAAGGCAAAATTTATTGAGAGCTATAAAGGACAGGAAGTTGTGGAGAGCCTTGGTCACCAACATTCTGAATGGATATGGCACACAGAAGAAGAAATGACATGCTAGACAATTTTTCTAGAATCTTATAAATTTATGAGTCTACCATTTGTCCATGCATTGAATATTGCTGCCACATCCGATCTGGTGCTTCTGCTATGTATTTAGAGTTTCACAAAATAGTTAAAGATTTTACTGTAGATAACCATATTTAAATTAGGAAGAAGACTAGTGTATAACTATTATTTCAATCATTTTTTTCAGCAACACAATAGCCACATGGCTTAAAGTGTTGATTTAGGAATTTAGTGACATAATAATTGTGAGTTCAATCTCTGTGACAGGTAGTAATGACTTACACTCAGTGAAAACCAATTTCCCACTAGTAGAAACTTATATTAATGTTTAATTTAAATAGATCTTGATGCTTCAACACTAGGACAATGTTAGAACAAAAACACAATGACAATTGGGCTCCAATAGCATTTGCTAGCCACTCTCTCACACCTGCTGAAGCCAACTATTGCCCCCTTGAACTTGAAATGCTGTCCATAGTATTTGCCTGTGAACATTTCCACAAATTCTTGTATGGACAACGTTTCATAGTAAACAATGATCACAAACCTCTAAAATCCATTGTCACAAAACCCATTGCGAAAGCACCCCCTAGAATACAACGTTTCTTAATGCATCTACAGAAGTATGACTTTGAAATTGCATACACTCAAGGCAAACTAATGCATGTGGTTGACACACTCAGCCGTGCAGCACAGAAAAAGAACACACCAGAAATCTCTGACAAAGAAATGAACTTATTTGTCCCTTCCATAATGTCCTCCATACCCATCAGTGAACAACAGAAACAGCGAATGACCAAACGTTACAACAACTGCAACATCAAATTATGATTGGATGGCCACAACATCGACACAACCTGCACCCTTGTCTTCACCCTTATTTCAATTGCCGAAATGACTGGTAATGAAGGGTTCACAAATTGTTGTACCACTCAGTATGTGTGCAGAAATGCGCAGAATTCTGCATCAGGTGCATTTAGGAATTGAAAAAACTAAATCTAATGCCAGGAAGGCTCTTTTTTGGCCGAACATGAACAAAGAAATCGAAGATATGGTACAAAATTGTGATTCATGTCAACAATATAGCAACCGACAAAGTACAGAGCCACAGATTCCACATGACATATCAGACCAACCCTAGCATAAGGTTGGCACAGACCTCTTCAGACTGCAAGGGAAGTACTACCTCATGGTAGTGGACTACTACTCGAAATTTTTTGAAATAAGTCTACTCCATAATACAACAGCACTGACGGTGATTAATTGGACAAAAAACATCTTCGCTAAACATGGGATTCCCAAACTAATAATCTCTGACAATGGCCCTCAATTTAAGTCAAGTGAATATAAAAAATTTGCCACTGAATGGGATTTTTCCCATGTAACTAGCAGCCCAGAATATCCACAGTCCAATGGTCTAGTGGAGAGGACTATCCAAACAGTGAAAAAAACATTGCATAAATGTTTCCAGACAGGAGATGATCCATACCTTGCACTACTAACGTTGCGTACAACACCTGGCAAAGACAACTCTCCTTCACCAGCAGCTAGGCTGATGAATCGCCAACTGAGAACACTGCGACCACTCATGAGAAAAAATAATCATGATCATCAAAAGGCAAATCCAAATCACAGACAGACAGTACAATGTGATAGCCATCAACGGGAGCTAACTCCTCTAAAGATTGGTGACCAGGTCCGTGTTCATGATGGCAAATCTTGGTCCAGGAAAGGAGTAGTGACTGAACGTTGCTCCCAACCCAAATCATACATAGTGCTGACGGAGAATGGTAGAAGTATACGCCAAAACCGTCGACATATACTGCAAGTACCCTGTTCAAAGACGCTAGCATCACAATCATATCCTGATACAATATTCAGCGCAGCCAGACAACCTCATCTACCTAATTCACGAGAACCATGTCCAGCCGTTTCAGAATCAGGAGTCCGAACCAGATCAGGACGACTAATACATAAACCTTGATGGATGCAGGATTTTACAAAGTAAAGAAATTGTATCCTCAATAATAAAGAACTTGGGAGGGGGGATGTTATATGTATACATACATGTGTGTGTATATACACATGTATATTAACTGCGGACAGAAAGGGAACTAGGACTTCCGCTGTACAGGACTTCCTGTAAAATGCCTTAAGGAAATAAACGTATGTTCTCGCACTCCAATCTTTATCTCTCTTTTCTAAGTGCAGCGAGAAATCATCGCTGACTCTTCTCAACTCCATTTTACGAAGAACAAATACCTGCACGGTAAGACCGAATCATTTTACTTCTTTGTTGACTGTAAACCTTATTTACTCCACGTTGTTTATGTGTCGATCGGCGAATACAACAGCGAGCATGTTTTTATTTAACTTTATTTATTTGGGACCTTGACCAACTCGATGCCTGTTGAGCTGTGGTCTGAAGATGTGATGCTTGCTTTAAGTCCCAACCAGTGATGCCCACCTTTTTCAAGGAAGGAAACAATTGAACTTCCAAGAAATTTACAGCACCTGACCTCAATAGGCAGCACATGATATGTCATGTTGCAAGTCTTTTGGCTCTTTTGCACAGGTCATTCATCTTCTTTAGGTTCTCTGGCCATTACAGGCTGTTTGTTGGCTGCTTCACATTGTGTGCTAAGTCCATGACCACTTTTTATGATGCCACTGCAGTGACTGTGGGCATGCAGTGAGCATGTAACAAAGTGCCTCGATCACTTTGGCATAATGCGCATACATCAGTGTCAGTATACCCCCACAGCTTGAGGTTGGTTGCATTTCGTAGGAGATCATAGGTAGATCGCAGGAGGAATGACATTGCCAATGGCACCATTGCAATCAGGTTTTTCCATGATAGCTTCATTGGATCAATATCACTCCATGTAGTCCAAGCACATTGTTTGGACTGAGAAACAGCAGTAGCTATTTGCTGCTCTTCCTCGAAATTCCTGATTTCTTCAGTCACCATGTCTCATTTACCCTTTGGGCTATGTTTGGAGAAAAACTAGTTCCTCGTGATGCTCAGTTTGAGTCACCAAAAATAATCTTCTTGGTTTGCAGGCTGGATTCTGCTTCTTAGGTGGCTTCTACTGCCGACCATTTGGTGCGAGTTTTGATATCTGGTCGT